GAGAGATATTTGAGATTATTTAAAGGGTAACCAATTTATTTTAACCACATATATACATCTATATGCACTGTAAAAAGCAAATAATGTATAACTTCAACTTTATTAAGAAAAGTTTCTAGAAATTACCTTTGCATTTATTTATTTTAATTTTTTTTATGTGGCTTGAACAGTGTAGTCATAGGTGACAATGTTTTAAAAACTGGAAATTTTTTTGTGTGTGACTAAAAAATATGATCAAGCAATTGAGATTGGAATTTTAGGACATACTCTCTTATGCTCTGATAACTTGCATGATCACACACAGCCTTAAATAATATTAAGATGCCAAGAATAAAATTCCAAAATCTTCCATGTAGGCTTGAATATGATAATATTTATTGAAATTATAAAACTCACTCACAGAACTTAAGTAAAATTATAAACTCACTCATACACTCAATTATCTTACTCCTACATTTTAAAAAGACTGATGAATAATCATCTCAGTGTAAAAATGATGAAGTATTTTACCTGGCTGGAATTTTGGAAATTTTATTGAAAACTAAAAACTAATGGATGAAGAAGTTATTACCCATGAGTAGTTATATCAACCAATAGTAAAACTAAGATGATCAGGTTCCTAGCTCATATAGTTAAAAAACTTTTGTGTTTTCATTTATTATAAAATAAAGAAATGTACTCAAATTTACAATGGAGCTGAGATTTTCATGGGTGCACACAAAACTTACATGAAAACTAACAATATATTAAAAATGATAAAAATAATTTGAATTCTAAACTCTTCTGCAAAGAAACTCAAATCACCTTGATGGCTGATTTTCTTAATCAAGTATTTTTGTACTTTATACTATTTTAATATATGGTAGCATAGAAAAAATGTTTTATGATTGTGTACTCATGTTAATTTAAAGTAGAAATTTAAAGCTATTATCTATAAATTACAAAAAGAAAGACAAGTGGACAAGATACTCTTGGAGACATGCAGTAGGAAAGAGACATCCCCTTCCTATCCAGCCCACCATTACCCTTATAGAGATGTATATAATGTTTATGGAAATGAATGCATGTAACTAATCAAACTGTGTCCTCTTAGAACAACACTGTGGACAAATATCCTCAGAATTTTAAATGAAGAAAGAAATTGCTCACACTTTTCATGTTTGTTATTGAAATCACTGACATACTAGAATATGAAATTTTAGGATCATGGTCTTGGGAGCTCATTGGAGTTCCTATAGTCAAGAATCTCTTGTATTAGATAAGTGGGACTAAAGGCAGACAACGGATAATGTTGCTAGTAAAGATATACTTTTTCTTTCACCTTTTCATTCTAAAATACTGAGTTTATTGTCTATGCTTTGCTACTTTCGTCCTGGATGCTGCAATCTCATTTTTATATATTTGGATTGACTATATTCACCATGTGTTTAATTCCTTTTTATTGAAAAGGCCATGTATATATCAAAACGATTTTCTCTTTCTAGCACAAAGAGCCTAAGGTCAATCCTAATGTGAATCTTTTGAAATTGAACTGTAAAACACCACGTGAGAATGTAGAATGTATTATTTTTTAAAATGCATTTTAGTAGATCTTATTCTGCTGGCTCAATATATTTTCTTTGAGATCATATTGAAATGCTTTCAGTAGTGCCATAGAAAAATCTGAAAACACAGATGTTCAAACAAAACTGGAAATTCTCCCAATAGTGAAGAAATCCCCAGTCTCTTCTCAGCCAGGCCTTCTTTGAAAACACCTGTTGAGAAGTTACCCTGAGACTGAACAAATAATTCTTGATAAGCCTCCATATGTAGTTACTCGTGACAATTAGCAATGATCTCTACTTGATTTTAGATTTTCATATTAACATATGAAATAATTCACATGGAAATTACTCCTATGAAAAGCACATTTATAAATTTGTATAACAATCTATTTGCCTTACCTCCCACAAAATCTGTGCTATTTTTCGAAATCTGTGTTATAGCTTTAAAATGAGTAAAATATTTCATTACAAGAATGTTGTATTATGATTCACATTATTGAGGCTATTTTAATCTCTAGTCTGTTATTTAAAACTTCATAGGCTGACTTTACTTCACCTGAAAAACTTGGAGAAAACCTGAAATAAAACCCCTTTTCACAAACCACTGTTTCTACATATGGTTACATGTGTAACCAGCTTACTGGATTGTTTTGCATTCATTTTTAATAAAAATACTCTCATGCTCAAGAACCTACAGATCTCATCCTTAAAATTTTAGACCCTGAGACTCACACAATATCATTCGATACTTAAATGAATCTTAATTTAAGCTGTAATATGAGTCTTTTACATCTTGAAATTTTTAAATTTCATAAGGCCCATCTTTACCAGTGTATTGCAAAACAATTACAAAATACTTTCATTCCATCAATGAAAATACCCGGCGTGCCTTCTAAAGAGCACGAAATTTCTGGGACGTAAAGGTAAAGGAGACCTAGCAGCTGTTCGTCCAAGTGCACTCTGTGGATTAAAATACTACCTTCAGAAATACGCGTGAGATTAGCAGTGTGCTTCCTTAGCAGGCTGTGTTAAATGCACACACTAATAAATACACTCTGAAACAAGATTATGGATACCTGAACACTTCAATTTAAGCATGTCACTTCAGCACAAAGTGTTTGCAGTGCACTAGTTTAAAAAGAAAGAAAAAAAGGAGGGTCACTATAGTTAATTTACTCTGTTCTCTATAATAGGCATTGAGGAAAGCCTGATATATTTAGGAGGAAGTTAACATATTAGGAACTTACAAAGCGTTCTTTATAAGACTGTAAAAACTCAGCAGAAAAAAAGAGAAAGAGAGACTGCCTGTTTTAACAGTTTATAGCAAGGATATTTCTAGGGCGGAAACAATATGGGAAATCGAGTCACCTTGGAAAAAAATGCCAAGAACTTAAAACTGAAACTTTTTCTGTGTTTTCATGGCATGGATTAAAATTCTAGAAAAAAGGAATGGCAAGAAGTGTGCCCTTTGTTTTACTTTTAAATTATCTGTCTCTTTCCCTGCATGTATGAGATTTTCTTTGGCTTAAGTTTTACTGCTAGGAGGAATCATCACCATCATCCATTCCTCAAGCAATGAACATCTTAAAGAACAGCATGGTGTAAATACAGTATAGGCACCCCTGTTCTTCAAAACCTTCTGGATACTTCCATCCAAATTCATTTCTCACTAATCTGACCAAGGAATCAGGCTTGCTGATAATTCTACTGTACCAACTTCATTGTTACTGGAACCTAAATAAGAATTCAACTACCAGCACTTGGAATGGAAGATTAAGCATTAACCCTCTGTGATAACTTTATAATTGTCAATGATAAGAATATAAGAAAGGTATATAACGTGTGTATACATAAAATGATTGCAGAGGATGTATGAATATATATTTTAACATACCTCCCTAAGGAGATTATCATAAATAAGTTTTACACAGTCACGGGAGACTTTCATAGAAACCACAATATTTTTCAAGGGGGATATTTTTCGTTCAGTCTTATATAGACATCAAAAGTCATAATAAATGGTAATATAGTAGACACTGTAAAAAGTGGGATTTAATACTACAATCAATACTTTAGTATTCAGTAGCATCAATTACAAGAGTCTGCTTTACAAGGACATTAACTATCATAAGAAAATATGTTTTGCCAACTTTTAGCATTTGTCACACTTATCATGTTAGAAAGGATAAGGTTGTGATATTTTACTATTCATTTTAGTAATAAAAACATTACTGAGTCAAGTGTCATTAAAGGGTATTTGCTTTTCAAAGCATAAAATTATGAACAAATTAACTTCATTTGCCCCAAACTAATCTTCCTCCCAAAGTGTCACTTTTAGTTAAACTCAATTTTGAATTTCAAGTAGTGCCCATCCAGAGTAATTTGTGGCAACATGCATTTATAATAAGCAAGAATTAAGTTTTTCCTGTGACACAACTTAATAGTTGATAAAAGAAGTTAGGCAAAGTACAGTTACCTGCTATTGTTAGAATCTATGATGGGTCCGTCATTTAGGGTTTTTAAAAAATACATCAGTAACTTTGGATTATACAATCTAAAATATATTAAAGATCACTTAAAAATACTGAAAATACACAGTATGCAGACTACATGCATTTTTGGTGCATCAAGTGCCTTTAATGCCAACTTTGCCTCCTGTTTTCAACCGTGTAAAATGAGTCTGTGACTCTTGGGTATACTCTGTTGCTTTCTCAATGAAATAGATCGGGAAAACTCCAGGACAAAATAATTATAAACTTTTCATCGACAGTTACTGGTCATGATCCAGAGCCTACCTCAACTCAAATTTCTGAAAGAGCTTCAGAGCAAAATTGGCATATTAAAAGTTTAAAGCACACTAAGGCGTTATGCTGCAGTTTCCGCTGAAGAAAAAAGTATGACTCATGTTCTTTAAAACACTTTTTAATATGTAAAACTGACTCTTTGGGGGGAGGAGTGAAAACTTAGCTCAGATTCAGGCTCTGGAATTCTGAGCGGTTGCTATTTTGTACTTGAAGAAGAAGTTAACTTCTGAATACTGGAGCGTACATTTCTCTCATTGTTGGTGTCCGATTTTTAAATAAAATTCAAAAGCAAATTTAACTAAAACATGTTTTTTTACTCTAGGAATCCTTTGTTACTGAGAGAAATGTAGAGCAGCGAATAAAAAATAAACTCTAAATCCTGAACACTGCTAACATTTTTAAACCTATAAAAATAATCTTTAAAATACAACCGAAGTAAGACATTCACATCTTTGAGATTTCAGACTATGAACATGGGAGGGGCTATGTATAGGGTATGTCGTGCACGGAGTGGCAAAAGCGGGAAGCATCTTCATTTAAAAATTTCCCCCTCACTGCTGCTGGCAGTGCGGCTTGTCCTGTTCCAAAGGTTTCAGGACAGCTCCAAAATCAGCAATAAAGTCAAGTCCGAGTTATGCTAACAGCCTCTTACCTGAATTATGGACATCCGAGTGGCAGGGGTCTCGCTTGCATTAGTTCCTTGTCCCGTGAAGCTGGTGTGGCAGCCCGCGTGCCCCTGAGGAACAGTCAGGTTGTTGGAGGCCGGTTTGAGATACATCACCTCCGACCGGGGCGAGCTGAGGGGCAGGCGGGTCTGGTAGTCGAAGTACATAGGGGAGGTGGCCAGGGAGGGGCTGCTCACCACGTTCATGACGTTCATGGCGTTCCTCTCTTCCACCTCGCTCTGCACCAGCATGATATCATTTTTGTTGATCTTCTTCTTCTTGCCCTTGCCCCCGCCCAGCTGCGGGTGGCTGTACTCGGCGATACGGCAGTTATAAGTGCGAATCTCCTTGTTCTCGCGCTTGCACTTGACGGCAATGGTGATCATGGCCGCTAGGAGAATGATGGAGATAGTGCTCAGAGTCACGATGAGCGGCAGCGACATGTCCCAGTGGTGCTGCTCGCCGTTGACCCGAGGAACCCCTTCGGGCAAGGAGCCGCTCACCGAGCGGATGATAAGCTTGGCCACCGCGGACAGGGTGGGCTTCCCGTGGTCCGTCACCTTCACTACCAGCTCCACCACTGGCGTCACGTCCTCCCAGAAGGGGTGCAGCGTGCGGATCTCGCCGCTGGAGGGATCGATTTCAAACAGGTGGTCGTCGTTACCATCTACGATCTCGTAGGTGAGGCGCCCACTCTCGCCGAAGTCGCTGTCAAGGGCGCGCACGGTGCTCACCAGGTAGCCCAGGCCGGCGTTGCGCGGCACCTGCAGCTCAGCGGTGTCGTTCTGCAGCGTGGGCAGCACGATCACCGGCGCGTTGTCGTTCACGTCTAGCACGGTCACCCTCACCGTTGCGTTGCTCTCCAAGTGCGCGGGCGCCCCCGAGTCCTTCGCCAGCACCTTGAACTCAAAAGCCTTGGTCTGCTCGTAGTTAAAAGAGCGCAGGGCGTAGATGGCCCCGTTGGTGGGGTTCACAGACACATAGGTGTAGATGGACACGTCGCCGATGTGCGAGGGCAGGATGGAGTAGGACACTGTGCCGTTTTGGCCCAGGTCGGGGTCCTGCGCGAGCACTGAGCCCAGGTACTCTCCTGGGATATTGTTTTCGTGCACCTGCAGCACATACAGTCCCTTGGTGAAACGAGGAGGGTTGTCGTTCTCGTCCAGAATCTTGACAGCAAACGACTTGGTGGAGTTGAGTGGAGGCGAGCCCCCGTCCCGCGCCACGATTGTCACGTTGTACTCGTCCTGTGTCTCGCGGTCCAGCGGGCGGTCGGTCACCACCGTGTAGAAGTTGTCGTAGTTCTCCTCAAGCTTGAAGGGCACCGAACCTCCGGGCCCGCCCAGGCCGCCGCCGCCGCCCGTCCCGCCTCCGCCCAGTACCCTGCACTGCAGCTGCCCGTTCTTGCCCGAGTCCCGGTCAGTGACCCGCACTAGGGCGATGACGGTGCCGGGCGGGGCGGCCTCGCTCAGCGCCCCCTGGCGCACGGAGACGAAACCGATGGACGGCGCGTTGTCGTTGCGGTCGATGAGCTTGACAGTGACCTTGCAGTGGGCTGGGATGGGGTTGGGCCCCAAGTCTCGGGCCTGCACGTCGATCTCCAGCATCCCATTCTCCTCATAGTCCAGGTTGCCCTTGACACGGATCAGGCCGGTCTTAGGATCGATGGAGAAAAGCTCTCTCACGCGGTCAGGCACATAGCTGCTGAAGGAGTAGAGCACTTCGCCATTGGGACCCTCGTCGGCGTCGGTGGCGTTCAGATCAATGACCACGGTGCCCAGCGGGGCATTCTCTGGCAGCTCCACCAGGTAGGAAGGCGCCTCGAAGACCGGGCTGTTGTCGTTAGAGTCGATCACCTTCACGTTGATTTGCACGGTGGCGGATCTCGGCGGCTCGCCGCCGTCCAGGGCGGTCAGCACAAGCGTGTGGTGGTTCTGCTGCTCGCGGTCCAGCGCCTTCTGGATTACCAGCTCAGGGAACTTGGTACCGTCGCCGCGGGACTTGACGTCCAGCGCGAAGAGCCCGTGGTCGTCGCGCGTGAGCAGATAGGTGCGGAGCCCGTTCTCGCCGGCGTCGGGGTCATGTGCACTGGTGAGAGGGAAGCGGGTGCCGGGGGCAGCGTTCTCCGAGATGTCCATCTCGATCTGGTCCGAGGGGAAGGAGGGGGCATTGTCGTTGATGTCCTGGATCTCCACCTTGATCATGCAGATCTCCTTGTCGTTGGCGAACACCTCGAGGGACAGCTGGCACTTGGCATTGTGGCGGCACAGGGACTCACGGTCGATGCGCTGCTTGGTGTAGAGGAGCCCGCTGTCAGCGTCCACGTCCAGCAGGTGCGGCGCTGAGTTCTCCAGCACCCGGTAGCTACCCGACTTGCTTCGCCCGCCGCCGCCGCCGCCGCCGCCGCCGCCGCCGCCGCCGCCGCCGCGCTCTGCGGGCGGAAGCCCTGGCTGCAGTCGAGCATCCTTGCCGATGTTGCCGATCACCGTGCCGGCCCCTTGCTCCTCCGGCACCGAGTAGTTGAGGTTTTTGAGCGTCAGGGCAGGGGCCCACAGGAGGAAACAGCAACAGATGGAAAGGTACATCCCAGACCGGTGGGGTGGGGGCAGGAGCAGCCGAACTGGAGGGGCGAGCGAGTGGGTGCGCGCCAGCCTGGGGCTCCGGCGCGGCGTGCGCGCGCGACACGAGCCACAAGTCTGTGGGTCCTTCCTTCCCTCTGCTCCGGGGCTGCGGCACCGGGCGGTCTCCTTATTCCGTTCAAGTTCCCCGAACCTGTTGATCTACAGCATCCGCACCGGGCGAGAAGCGGCGGCGCAGCCAAGCTGCAGGGGCGCGGAGCAAGGCGGCGGCTCCCTGCGGCTGGGGGGCGAGCCCGGGGCTTTGTCTGTTCCGCCGGGACTTGGGGCCACTCGAAGTTGAGCGATGAGGTCGGCGATAAGACGGAAATCGCGTTTAGAAGGGGTGGTCGAGAACCCCTAGCTTTTGCTGGCTCCCGCTAGGGCGCTGCAAATCCACTCCCGCGGCAGCCGCCGGAATACTCTTCACCTCGGGTGGGGGAGGAAGCGGGGAGGTGTGTCTTCAGGCAGATGGGAAAGTGAAATCCTTACTTGTTTCTCGTCTCCTGTGATGAGACTGGTGGGGACGCGGAGCCACGGAGACAGAGTCAGATAGATTTTGAAGCTTCGCCGGAGCCCTGTGAAATGTCTGCTGGCTTCGCGGGCTGTTGGGTTTTCAGGCAGTGTTTTGCTGCATTTAGAGATCTAATCTTGCATTGCTGGCGGAGGCAGAGGCGGCGGCGGACTGCATCTCCCAGCCAAGCGTATTTTCTCTCCTCTCTCTCTCTCTCTCTCTCTCTCTCTCTCTCTCTCTCTGTCTCCTTTCCGAGCAGCCAAAGGGAGGGGAGGAAATGCAGCGCAAGGAACTAGTGTCCCGATTTGTAGTTTCCTCCCTCCACCACGCTCCTCCCTCTCTTCCTCGGAAAAGGCTCTCCCCGGAAAGCCACAGCCTGATCGGCGTTTGCGGTGTGAGTCTGTTGGGAGGGGGGTGGGGGGCGGATATATAGCTCTATCTCCGCCTCTGTTTGTGGAACACACACACTCTGTGGTTTCTCTACGCCGAGCCAGGAGCCGCCGCTACCATCCCATTCTCTCCCCGAGAGCGAGGACTTGTCTCGATGCAGTTTAATTCCAGTTTGCTTTTCTTCCCAGGCGAGAGGAAATCAACAGGCAACTCATGGTTGGATGTGCCGATCTGGAGGGGGAGGGGGAGGCGGAATAAAAAGGAAGGGGGAGCCACCCTCCCAGGGCTCGCACACACACTCTCCCTGTCTCTCTCGCTAGAAGGGAAACAGTCTCTGCATTCACAGGGCTGGGCTGTCAAGTGCCTCTCTTTTCTTTCTATTCAGCATCTCCTTCCAATGGCCCTGCCTCCCAGTCCTCTTCATCTAGAAAGGAAAACCTTGGCGAGGAATAAAAGTGGTGGATATTCGAAGCGAATAAAGTGCGGGTTTTTTTTTTTTTTTTCCTTCCCGTCAATTTTTTTTTTTTTTTTTTTCTTTAATAGTAGGAGTGGGCTGGATGAAAGAGCCACATCAAGGTTTGGCGTGATGCGTTCTGCAGTCTCGCTCTCACAGTCTCTCTGGGCGGCTCGAGGAGGGCAGGGAGGGGGCGAGGCGCTGCGGCCGCCGCGGTCCAGCCAGGGGCGCCCACCGCCTCCCCCGAGAGCTCCCTCTCTCCGAGGGGATGTTAGGCACGGGTCTGTCTACACATCATCTCGGGTTCTCGAGGCGCCTCGACGCACGGGAATGACACATCCAGAAATGCAGGTGTTGCGATCTGCCCGATGAGTCACAAGCAGTGGAACGAATCGTATTCACTCTCGCCTCATGGTCCTCCCTTCACAGACATTAGTTGCGGCTTCTTCCTCCCGCTTTCTCTGACTCACTCTATGGAAAGAAAAGCCAGATCCACGTTTTGGAGGAAAAGAAAAAAAAAAAAAAAGCGAGAGAGAAGGGAGGGAGGGAAGGAGGAAGGTGTAGCTGAATCCAGCAGCACTTTTACTCTACCTCTTTCTGCCGGGGTCCGAGGCTCTGGAAAACAAGACGTCTGTTTTGCTAGGTGTATTTACTTATTTATTTAAAAAAAAAAAACAAAAAACAAAAAAAAAAAACTTTCCTTTTGGTTAGGCGTGAGGAACCCCCAAATCTTTCAGAGTCTTGGGGGGGGAAAAAAAAAGAAAAAAAATCAGGATTCCAGGGACTGTTCACAGCTTAGCCCCGCATCATAGTTCACGGTTTTCCTCTCAATGTTCTCTATTCACAAAGTCCAGCACCGGTGTGCATAGTTAATTGTGCAGTCCGTTGTGGAGGGCTTTCTTTTTTTTTTTTTTTTTTTTTTTTTCCTCCTTTTCTGTCACGGGTGGTCTCGTTTAATCTGGTGCCTGTCAGGATCAGCTCATAGCCTGCGAAAGACGTGCGGGTTTCAAAGCAAATAAATCCATTTCCGCAAGCAAGGCATCGGAGGAAATGAAAGGTGAAAATTCAACAGTTGGAGTAGCGTCTCCCCAGCCGCCCTCCGCCGCTGCCGCATCCGCCGGGCTCGCAGTCCCAGCTCTCTCCCCAGCGCCTCTTGCTGACTGACTCTATTCACCTCACGCCGCCGCTTAAACATTGATACTGATTCCCTGCCAGCCAATCAGCGTGAGGAACAAGGCCCTGCCTCCTCGGCCCACGCCCAATAGAAGGCGGAGAAGGGACAGGCGGGGGCGGAGCCAGGAGCCCCAGCTCTTCAGAGTCATTGATTAGATCAGTTAGATGGGAGACCAACTGGGCTACCCGAGCCCAGCGCTCGGTCTGGGCAGCGGCGCCCAGGGCCTCGCCGCCGGGTCTCCCGAGTCCTTAACTACTGAGAGAAGCTCTTCCACCGTCTTCCTTTAGGAAAAGGCGAATTAAAAGAAAAAAAGTTTGACAGCGATTTATTTATTTATTTTTTGTTTTTTGGGTTTTTTTTTTGTTTTTGTTTTTTGTTCCATGTACACAGGAACCGGAATCGCAGCGTGCTTGCAGAATAAGGTAGCTGCGGTCTTCCTGATGGGTTTCTGTACACACACTCACACACACACACACACACACACACACACACACACACCCCGGTACCAAACACACACCTATGCCAGGAGGTGCAGATCTGACTGCGTGTGGATCCTTCTGATTGCAAGTGCAGAGGGGTGTGAGTGTGTGTGTGTGTGTGTGTGTGTGTGTGTGTGTGTGGTGTAAGTGTGTGTGTGTGTGTGTGTGTATGCGTGTTTCTGGGGTGTGTGAGGTGTACTTAAGCGAGTGTGTGTGAATGCGAGGGCGCTCGCGCTCCCGCTTCTGCAGGAGCTGGTGCAAACACACGGGGAGCAACAGCAATCAATATGTAACTTTCTTTATCCTCAGAGAAAAAATCAGCTGTCCCCAGGCACCCATGCAAGGAAAGTCACTTGATTATGAAAGTGTTTCAGAAGAAAAGCAAAAGCCCAGTGAAAGAGAGGCCGTGTCTCCCCAGAGGAAAAAACTCCTCTCCTTTAAGGAGAAAAGCTCACTGTCAATTCAAGCTTTGTAGTTTGTTAAAGCTTAAGTCTGACTAAATAACACTTAGGACTCTACCTTTTTCTGTCTCCTGCAGCTCAGTCCAGATTTAAAGTAAAGGGGACATTTCCCTCTCCCCCCCCCCCATACTTTCCCTGTTTTGTTACTCTACTCCATCTTGTTATTGAAGTTCTATATGGCAATCTGAATTTCATCTCAATACAAAATACATGTTGATAACCACATTTGCTAAAGCTCCAATGCATGAAAGCTGAACCATAAGACAGATCAGTGGGAGATCCGTTAAGATTCATGTTTAGTAACACTACTACCACCACTATCACCATCGCGCGCGCGCGCACACACACACACACACACACCCACCCATACACAGAGGCTCCTGATTCATTTACTTCATCAACTTCAGTTTCCAATCTCAGAGGTTCTTTCTTCCCAAACTATTAACATAAATATCCACAAGTGAAGACTGGTTTGCTCGCGATCCTGTGGTTCTGGGAAAGAGTTAAGAAGGAAAAAGAAAATTGAAGTATTGAAATAGAAAAGGTGAGTGTTTTGATTGCTAGAGTATTGATCGCAATTCATAAATACTAAAGTTAAGTTGCCATTTATAAATTGTGAATGACTAACGTACAAGTCTGTTACATGAATCATTCAGGATTCAAAGAAAATCAAATCCAGACAATTACAGAAAGTTCTGATGATTGTTGTTGGGATAATTGCTTCAAGATTCAAGTAAAGGAGCTATTTATTTCCTGGAGGATTCAATGAAATAACCTATAGTCTGAGTTTATAATCTAATCTGAATCCAAAATTCATCACTCCCTTAAAGAGATGATCTTTAACAGTTTAATAATTTGAAGAGGAGCTATTTACAGCCAGACCTTCAAATCCTAAAGTGTCTTTGTATTTTCTAAATAGGTAGCTTGTGCATGTGCTTTTGTTAGGGAAGCTAAAGCTTTGTAGAAATCTGGGTTGTTTTGCTGAGTGGGTATCTAACCATGCTGCTTTGTGGAACTGAACCTTTACATCTCTTTGGGCTTTGTACCTCTGTCCCAAACATGTATCTTGGCAGCTAAGGCTTTGATGCTTTAAAAGCAGCAGTTAACTTAAATAAAGAGTAGTAATTACACACTCACTTATTAATCATTACTTTTTTTTAATATGACAAATCTATGGCTATTTTGCATCATATACTAATTCAAGGAAATTCATAAAATATCTTTATTTGAGGTTCACGATAAGGCAAAAACAAGAGAATGAAAACATTTCAGGGAAAGAGTAATATGGCTTATTGATTAGCCTTAATTCATTAGAAATGCTGCTACACAAATGAAGGAAGAAAACACAGTGTCTAAGGAGAAACCAGTGATAGGAAATACATCCCCACAGACAGTTTGCCTACCACCCTCCCAGAGTAACTATGTCACACTTCCCCCTAGTGTATAGAAAGAGAACTACCATGCCACAGGGCATCTGTGAAAGGGAGTAAAATGAAAATTTATCAGATATCTTACTTACATTTTATTTAAGTTGTAGTATTGAGTTCAGTTATTAAATACTGACATGTACCCAAACTAATTAATGTTTATCCTTATGTCTCATCCCTACTTTATTTTTAAAGGAAATTGAATCAACTGATATTTTCAATTCTTTTGCTTCCTCTTAACCAGACACAATTTTTAAACTATAATCACTACTATTTGCTTTTGCCATCTCATAAGTTTTATTTTTAATCCCCAATATTTTTGCTTGGCATATAGTTATTAAGTATTTACTTTTAACTATGCTTATATTAAGCTCATTTTAAAAATCAATATACATATGTTTAAATAGTTCAAAGATTCTGTTGGATTTTATACCATAGTAGGCTATGAACATACGTACTGGGGTTGAAGAATCTAGAAGAATGTAGTATTATGCATAACGAACAGTACCTACAATCTCAGATTTCTCAAGAAGAGATTGGTTGAAAATCATAATTTATAATTACAGATGGTAGTCTCAACCTTAAACCAAAACTGTATTACTCTTTCTTTACTAAACATATATTGAACATCCAAAGATTTCATGGATTTAATCAACATACGATGTGTGTGCACACTTACTGAGAAAAAGTACTTGGAAAAATACTTATACTATAAATATAAAATCATTTAATTAACAAGATATGCTGGTCTTAGTGAGTTTTAAAATAAATGGATTGTTATGTTAGAATAGCTTCGAACAGAGGCATTATGGTCTATTTTATAGATGAATAAAGGCTGATTAATGCTTTTATATTAAATCAATAATTTAATATTGTTAATAAATAATCTTAAGGATACTTTTTAAGTAAATCTCATGTTATTTAAGTTATTTAATTTTGTCTCTGACTCTTTGTATTTCATTACTTACTAGTTGTAGCTATAGTTCTGAGAATTTGTGCAGGCAGCCATAAAGGCAGCACTTAACATTTTCAAAAACTTGTCCTGTTTGCTGTATTCTTGAGTTCAAGAAAATACAGTTCTGAAAAGAAATTTTAATGCTGATGTTTTCAACACAACCACTGTTTATATGAATGAAAAATATCCTCTCTACTATTTCCTTTTCCATCACTTTTATCATGATCTCATTTTTATTTGTTTATAGAAAATCTTCAAAAGTAATTTTAATGATTAAACTGTTGTACATCTAATAAGTTTCAAAAGTTTCAATATCACATTTAAACCCTAAAATGAATAACAGTATTTCATTAACGGCTACTTCTCCTAATTCCCATTGCCTTTTAGAGATGTTTGTGGCTTCCCTCTAACACACAACAATTGGCCAATTGCTGACTTTTAACCAAAGCTTTCTCTTTTAAGGAATGACACATTGATGCCACTAATCGGATAATCACTAAAACATATCTTTCTCTGTTATGATAAATGTGAATAATAATGAAAATGCAAAGTAACTATAATTGTTAAGCTTCAGGGGAAATGTTTTATAATTTAAAACGTTTATGAGACCTCAACCTCTCCCACACAACAAAATGAGAAAAAATATAAAATATCTTCATAAATAAACAGTATTTTAAATTGAATGCTATTTTTTTGAATTTTTATTAAAATTATGAAATCTTGCTATTAGAAAAATATTTGTTAGGAAATAATATATTTTACTCTTATTCTCTATTATATTTTATGTTATGATATAATAATATATACATATACATGTGCCCTCCCTCCATACCTACAAAGTGTGTTCCTATTATTGAACATCAAAAATAAAGTTACTAACCCTACAAAAACATAAAAGATTTATTAATTTGAAATTCACACAAGAAATGAACTCAATTTCCAACTGGTGTTCATGTATTTTACATACATTTTTAAGTATGTTAGTCCGAAGAATATATTCATAAATTAGTCATCAATGATCAATTTTTGAATCATGATACATATTTCAGGATGTTGCTTTTTAAGTACTAAGACAAATTTAAAAGTTAATTTAACAATTCTGCGTTTAAATTTGACAGTTTAAGGTTATTTGGTATGGTGTAAACAAATTGTGTGTGTACTTGTGTGTAGAGTACATGAAAGAGACCACACAGAAACAAGAATTGTCACGTGAAAAAATATGTTACATCTAATGTATTAAGTAACGTATAGTTAAGAGAGGGAAGTTGGATTATATTGTGCAAAATGAGATTCCGAGAAAGCTTATCTTCAGTTTCATAAAATCCAGATGTCATATTTATGTCCTCTCACGACTTAACCAGAAATACAATGAATGGTTCAATTAATTGTGAAACCTCAACTCTCCTGCCCCATGAGACGTTACATGCTAGCTCCCCCTTGTGGTCACTTCGACAATAAAGACATTCAGGCATTTGTTTTCAAAATTTCCTTCGTAGGAGAGTTAGGCTTATTCAATCTTTGTATACAACTTTTTAAAACAAATGAAAAGTTTATGAATGAAATAGTTAATTTATATATGTGAATGCTGGATGGTTAAAATAAAATGGCTAAGGTGAGAAACAAAGATAGTAAGTATTTCATGCATGGTGCAGCCATCCCATTGTTTCTTACAG